TACACGGGTGCAACGCAGTGGCGAGAACAGTGTTTTTTCGCGGGGAAATGTGACACTATCGTGAGAGATCTTAGCAACCGTCAACAACAATAACACAACAAAATGTAGTTCCATATTCAATGTTTATTTGTAGCACAGGACACGTGAATACGTGGATATTTCACAAAGCACAGTTCAATAATATTTTAAGATGTAAGAATTAAGCATCTAGTTCGGTCGTTCCGAGTGAGTAGTTTTTGTAGTGTATTACTACGCAGTGTGATCAGGTTACTATCAGTTCCCACGTGCTGAGATTCTATGAACACCTGTGTTATGCATTTATGAATGTAATTTTTGTCAATGGGTCTAAGCATACAGAATGTAAATATATGCCAAATGCGAATCGCACAAATATTTCCCCTTTAATTTCTGATAAAGCTGTGAACATTTCAACTGAATACTACTTACACTTATAAATCTCTCCTTTTCATAAATAAGTTTTAATAAATAGCAAGTGCAATATTTTATCAAAACAATATTTATCTATTTTACGAAAGTTGGTAAATGTTATACTGAGTACCCGTAGTGGTCAATTTAACCCTAATTATTGATACAAAATGAACGTCAAAATGAGCAAATACTTATTCATATTTTAAAACCACACTTTTGCATTTTAATGGTTATTCGTTTTTATTTCGTCTTATTTGCCAAAAAAAACCAACAGTATTTAATAACATTTTGTTTTCATTTTTTAACACGAGCCGTATTTTCCGGGCCAAAATAAGTCCTGTCGTGCCGGGCAACATCGAATATCAACACATGTAAACGGTTTGACATTTAAATTTGAAATTTCTGATGTGTTCTGTCAAATACTGTAGAGCTACTTGTATCAATCGTGACAACGTTTAACAAACGTGTATTTCACTAAAACACCAACACACACTCTCTCACCAATTTTTATTCCCTTCTCTCAACAAAATACCGCCCTCCTCACTTTTTTCCTAGTTCTGTTTATCTCCCGAAAACACCAACACACACTATCTCCCTCTCCATTCATTTGAACATCTCGTCTCACATCTCGTCAAAACACGTATACATGTACCTCTTGAGGATCCCTGTTCCACTGCACTGTGTCCCCCCCCCC